CCGCCGCCGCCTCCGGCTCCAGGGCTGGGGGCAGCCGGTGGCCTTTCAGCTGGGGAGATGCTGCCCGGCGACGGAGAGGTGGCGCTGGGCGGCGGCGGCGGCGGCGGCTGAGGGCGCTGGAGGTCCGTCATGTAGCCGTTGGGCAGGTTGGCCATGAAGTTGCTGTCAGAGAGTCGCCTGCGGAGGTAATTCATCTCGACGAGGGGTTTGAAGTCTCGAGGGTTACACGGGCGTCCCGCAGATGGGGGTCGCTATATTGGGGTGTCTCTGGGGGGGGAAAGATGGGGGGCTCTTCCTCGGGATGATCCCTGGAGGGGATTCCACCAGAAGCCCTCTTCGAGAAGGGGCTTGCCCAGGTGCCCTAGAGAGGGGAACCGCCGAAAAGGCGACCCAGTCAGCCAGCCTCGGGAAAGAGGGTCTTTCGGGGGTGGGAGGCTTCGATCGCCGGGTGAAGTTTCTCCGACTGATTTCCCGGGAGCAAAGCAGCTTGCCGTGGGGACAGAAAGGAGAGCGCTCGCCTACCAGGGATCTGTTTCGAAGGAGAAGGAGGACATCCGCTCTTGAAGGAGATGGAATTTCGCAGAAGAGAATCCTTCCAACTAGCTTCCTTTAAGAGCGCTGTTTTTCTCGCCTTCTGCTTGTCTCCTGCGGGGAGGATCTATGGGGGGGGGAAAGGGATTCCTTCTGCCCCTGCGCTTCGGAGAGAAGGAGTGGGGGGTATTTATAGGAGGGGGGGAAACAGCCTGATATGGCTCCTCGCAAGTCCTGGAGCCTTCTGCAATCTTCAGCAACCAGCTCTATCTAGTTCATTGGGTCCGCCTCTGGACCCTCTTGGCAGCAATGGGAGCAACCTCTCTTCTGCAAAGCTAATGTAGGGATGCACCATCAACCAGTAAGATCGGGGGAAAACTCAACATTTATCTTCCCTCCTCCCCCCCCCTCCCCAGCAGGTGAGAATGGTATAGCCTGGTACCCGACAGCACAGATGCAGAATACAGGGAGAGAAGGTGATGCTTATGATGCTATGTTCCCCTCTGGAGACGATGCTTGTTGCGCCAATACCCATCATGCTGATGCTGTCGTCGTGATTGCCAATGTCCAGGGTATCGTGAGACAAATTGGAAATCTTAGTTCCAATGCTGCTTTGCATTTCGTAGGACAGGAGATGTGTTGCAAATCTCAAAATCAGGTGCAAGTCTGCCTCAGAGAGGAAGCATCTTCAGGAAAATCAACTTTTGAGTTCATCCTCCCACTTTCAGAGGCTCAAGGAACAGACTCCCCAAACACCAAGATCCTAAAAAATGAAGTCTGGTTACAATACTTTCACCCAGAAACTGAAAAAGAAGATAATAAATATCAGTAGTAAATAAAAAAAATATTGTGTTCCATGTCCATCATTTATGCATTCGTATATAGCATATGAAGCATACAAGAAGATGCTTTGCAAAGTAACATGAGCAAAAAAAAAAAAAGGAAGAGTTTCTTCTCTTGATCTTTCAAGTTTCAAAATGGTGCAGATCTATACATTAGGCAGCTGCAGTAGCCAGTAGTTTTCCAGAATGGACCCAAGCAGAAAAGATGGACAAAGTAGGAATAAGGATTCATCATTACACTATAGACCAAGAGAAAGTATGAGAGCTGGGCTATATACAGGCCAACTATATACAGTAAGAAGACAAAAGACAGAAATTAAAACATATGTCTTAGTTTCCTTTTTTTGTCCTGTTGTTGCTTACTGTTTTTCTTTTTACATAAAAAGATTTAAATTACATAGGTGGCAGCAACAGAAGGTAATTCACTACTGCTGCCAAAATTGTTATTATGCTTTAAAGGATAGGCAGAAGAAAAATCTTTGACTGATTTGCAGCGGGTCAGAAAGTGTAATTCTGTTTGTTTGGCTATGTAACACTTTAAAATTTAATTTAAATGTAAGACAAATCTGACTGATGAAATTAAGATAACCTGAGAGAAAAGTTGGATGTAACTGTTTTTTTGAAGAGATAGAACTCACTTTTGGGGTTGGAAACAAATCATTGGGCTAAATGTCATATTCTTTATTCAGTCTGCTGCTAAATCACTTGGCTCTAGTTATTAAATCTTCATATATCAATTTTAAAAAACCCAGATCCCTGAAGCCTGATGTCTGTCCATTGCAAATATTTTAAAATATTAAAAAGCTTTTTAAAGCTGGTTTCTTATTACAAATGTATTTTATATTGGGACAATAAAAGAGTTGCACAGCAAAGCTATATTACAATAATATAGCATAAACTGATTTAAAACTGGCCATGGATGTTAATATGTTAATATTAATGTTAATAATGTTAATATTTTAATATGTTAATAACACAATACATAACCATAATTCAGTCTGGGCATAATATTTATACTTTGCTAAAGCATATCTAATTCTACAGTAATTTACTTGCATGCTTTAATATTTGCAAAACAAAATTTAGCTGTGTCATATGTGATGTTAGGCTTATTGTTTCGGTAATTTCATATCTTCCAAAATATTGGGCATTTTATTATCCTTACTTTTCCTATTTTTATATTTTACCCAAGTTTCGAGAAATGTATTGATCTATTGTGGTTGTCTTCATATTGCTGGTAAAGAAATCTAAAACGGAAGCAGTCAATATCTGTAAAAAATTATTATCACAGATGGAACATGGCAGAGACATCATTAAAAAGCAGAACATTTTGAGGTATACACTGCAAATAAAATAAACCTCCTCACTTCTCACATTCTCTCTCTCTCTCTCTCTCTCTCTCTCTCTCTCTCTCTCTCTCTCTCTCTCTCTCTCTCTCTCTCTCTCTCAGAGAGAGGGGGGGGTTTCATTTGGTTCATAAAGTTTAAGCTGCATTATAACATTTTAATGGCACAATAATTGAGGCAGCTGGTCAAAATACAGGATTGTTGGAGTACTGTCCATGGTGCTGAAAATGTTAGTATCTTTGTCCGTGGATTAACTCTTAATCCTCTGTGCTTCAGAAGTAGGAAATCTGTGATTCTCATAATGTTGTGAATTTAACTCCCAGCAGTCTTAACCAATACATCCAATGATGAGCGATCCAGGGAATGGTAAGTTGGCAGTGTCTGGTGGGGCTACTGGTTGACTACCTTGTTCTAAAATGCTCTTTCTAGTTTACCAAACACCATCTGAGAAGATAGCTAGACAGATCAAGAAACAAATTACCATCTATGTAACCATTCGAACTTAATACTTATGACTCTTTTAAAGTCTGCTTTAATTCCTATATTAATGCTTACATAGTGAAAGGAATATATAAGAACAAAAGGAATGCATTAGACTGAAGTTTATACTCTGGAAATTCAGTGTGTTAATGGACAGGTTGCAAATGGACAGGTTAGAAAACTAGTAATTAGGCTTCTTCATGAACCAAGATTTATGCCTTAGTCATCTCCAGTTGGACTTTTGCAATTCACTCTATAGGTGGCTTCTCCTGGAGGGTATTCAGAAACTTTCAGCTGGTGCAAAATGCAACATTGCCAGCAGTTATGTGTATTTCAGGTAGAATGCACATTACATTACATACCAATGTTCCAATATCTCAGGGGTTGCCACAAAGAAGAGGGAGTCAAGCTATTCTCCAAAGCACCTGAAGGCAGGACCAGAAGCAATGGATGGAAACTAATCAAGGAGAGAAGCAACCTAGAACTAAAATGAAATTTCCTGACAGTTAGAACAATTAATCAGTGGAACAACTTGCTTTCCGAAGTTGTGAATGTTCCAACACTGGGAGTTTTTAAGAAGAGATTGGACAACCGTTTGTCTGAAATGGTAGAGGGTTTTCTGCCTAAGCAGATGGTTGGACTAGAAGACCTCCAAGGTCCCTTCCAACTCTGTTATTCTATTCTATTCTATTCTATTCTATTCTATTCTATTCTATTCTATTCTATTCTATTCTATTCTATTCATATCTGTGCTATGCAGGTTGCATTAGTTACCAGCTTGTTTCCAGGTTCACTTCAAGCTGGTGTTGACCTTTAAAGGCCTTCATGGCCAGTATCAGTTTATCTGAGGGACTGCCTCTTCCAATTTTCATCTGACCATCCCAGCAGATACAACAGAATGTGTGTGTTATGAGTTCTGTTGTCTAGAAAACTATATTTGGCAGGCCTTGGGCAACAGGCCTTGCCTGATATTGTGTCCACATTGTAGAATTTCTCCCCGCAAAGATGAGGTCAGCCTCATCATTCCTGAGCTTGCAAAGGTGCTTCAAATCTTGTTATGCCAGCAGGCCTGGAGACTCTAGAGAACTGGTGACCCTATGAGATGTATCTGTTATTATTAACATTCCTATAATAATATAAAATAGAATAGAGCTGGAAGGGACCTTGGAGGTCTTCTAGTTCAGCCCCCTGCTCAGGCAGGAGAACCTATACCACCTCAGACAGGTGATTGTCCAGTCTCTTTTTTAAAACTTCCAGCGATAGAGCACCCATGATTTCTGGGGGTAAGCTGTTCCACTGGTTGATTGTCCTCACTGTCAGGAAATTTCTCCTTAATTCCAGGTTGCTTCTCTCTTTGATCAGTTTTCAACCATTGTTTCTCGTCCTTCCCTCTGGTGCTTTGGTGAACCTGCCCCCCTCTGCCTTGTGGCAGCCCCTCAGATACTGGAACACTGCTATCATATCTCCCCTATTTCCTCTTTTCTTTAGATTAGCCAAACCCAAGTTCCATAGCCGTTCTTCGTATGTTTTGGTCTCCAGGCCTTTGATCATCTTAGTTGCTCTCCTCTAATTTTTTTTCCAAATTCTCAACATCTTTTTTGTGATAGGGTGACCAAAATTGGCTGCAGTATTCCAGGTGTGGTCTTACTAGGGCTTTATAAAGCGGTATTAATATTTCACGTGATCTTGATTCTATGCCTCTGTTTATACAGCCCAGGATTGTATTAGCTTTTTTGTTTGCTGCTGTACACTGCTGGCTCATAGTCAAGTGATTGTTGTTGTGTGTTTTTTGGAGGGCTTACAAAATGACTTTAGGGGTTGTTGTTGAGAGGTGGGGCCCTTTAGTCAAAACAATAATTCAGTGTTATATTCAAGGCAGGAAATCTGATAGGATATTTTCAGAAAGCTCAGGGTTTGGAAAGCTGAAGCCCTGAAGAATCTGAACCTGCTGTGGTTTTGTGTTTTAAAAAAGTGGATGTTGACAGTAAATTCAAT